GGAGGACCATCTTGAAAATCATTTGAGAAAGTCCATTAATATAAAGGACAAAGGAAGGCACTGCTTCTGTGAGGAAGAAACAGCTGGGATGTGGTCCTCGGCTTCCTGATCTTGTGCTTGGAATGTAGTTCTCCACCCATGACATCCAAATAACAACCACAACTAAAGCTAACATCTCTAAAGATTACCTGAGTCAGTAAATGTTTGAACTGCTACTTCCTGGTGGTGATGCTAATCTTGGTTTTCCCTCATCCTAGATCTCAGGGTGATGCATTTTGGTAGGTAAAAGAAGGGGCACGGCATCTTGCTCCGACTGCCTCACCCCAGATTTAACATCAGAGCCTCAGTTATGAGACACTCTATAGGGAAAGGGAGACCTGCCTTTTGCACAAGAGGCATCATCTGCAGAGAAAGAACCATGACTGCACAAGCACCGAGCAAGAGAAACTGGGGGACTTCATCCTTTCAAAAATGAAGTGGGCTCTCAGCCAAAAAAGCCAAGCCCAGGTACAAGGACCTAAGAAAGGCCCCATCTAAAGGCCATAAATTGCTAAGTCTAACCTAACAAATACCTTTACCTTGTAAATCTCCAATATAAAGACATTGACAATAGCAATTCTGCTGGAAAATTGGGGATGGAGCAAGCAGAGCCATTTCAGTTGTAGTATGTCAATTAATTGATTGCATTTGCAATGCACCCACCCACACATATGTGTTCAATAACAAGATTTTGCCTTAGGACTCAATAGGAATAACATTACATTGAAAATGAAAGATCTGCTGTGGCAGGCATATAAAAGAGATTGAATTATAAAATGTCTTGCAATATTAGCATTTAATTCAAAATATGGCCAGTGTTCCTAATGAGACTTGATATGGATTTTTAAAAAAGCTATCCAAAGACCCCACGATGGGTAGAAAATAAAACCAACTTGTTAGGTTAAATTAATTGGAAAGACTTTGTACCATCCCTTGGTTGAATAAGTAATTTAGGTAATTTGAAGATGGTATGATTTTTTAAAATTGTGCTAATTGTGTGTGCTTTGTCTGGACATGTGAATGTAAGTTTAATAATTTTATCAACTGTTTACTGCTTAAATATATCCCCTTGTGTATTAGGAGTTAATTTGGTTTTGGCAAATTAGCTTTTCATCTTCTCTTAGCAACATTCTAGCAAACCGGTCCTTAAATTGAGTCTAAAAGCCATTCAAGGTATCCAACCATCTGAGAGAAAAACTGCCACAATCATAGAGATCAGAGAACTTCATAAGAATTGACCAGTGTTGAAACGGGGAAAGAATGAGGATGGAGAATTAATTAGCGATGCTTTTTAATAAAAGTGGCTTTTATTTAATAACATTTAATAAAATAAAATTTTATTTTAAAGATTTAAAACTTTGATAAAATGAAAATTTAGACTGGCTAAAAATACTAATGGTCACCATATATTAGTATAAATATTAACAATGTCCTAGAGCTAACATTTATTGAACTACCATATTCCAGGCACATACAGTGGAATTTATAAACATTTTTTTATTAATTCTTACAATAATCCTGTGAGGTAATAATAGTGTAATCTATAGGCAAGGAAACCAAAGACCAGAGAGGGTTAGTAATTTGCTAAAGGTCACACAGCTGGTGATTTGCAGGGTTGAGGTTTGTACTTAGTTGTCTGACTCCAACACCGGAGCTCTTTGCCACCAAGCCAAGCCTCCTCCTGATACCTCCATAAATCAGTTTAAGGGAAGAATAATATATTTTATATATTGTTAAATTTTTTGCTGATTATGCAGTTTGTCTAGAAAAACTGTTTCTCTTGCTCTCATTTCTCAAAATAATATTTTCCCCCTGATTATAAAACTTACATATGGTTAAATGTAAATGCGTATAGCCACTCTGGAAAAATATTTGACAGTATACTAAAACTGAAGATACATGTAGCTCATAATTCAGCAATTTCACTCTTGGGCTTATTCCAATAGAAATCAGCATCTATCAAAAGACAAACGAACGTTTGATGGACACAAGCACAAGAATATTCATAGGGGCTTTCTTTGTAATACCCTAAAGTGGAAATAACCCAAATATCTACCAAGAGTAGAATGGGGGTAGAAAACCCTGTGCTGTATTCATACCGTGGAATACCACGCAACAATGAAAAAGAACAGGCTGCAACTGCACTCAGTGCCATGGATGGCACAATGCTGAGTGAAAGAAGCAGACACAAGATTATATAATGCATTTCATTCATATGAAGTTCAAATATAGGCAAAACTAATTTTTGGTGAAAGAAGTCAGACCGTTGTTGAAAGCTACTGACTAGGATTAGGAGGGTGCTCAAAGGAGCCTTTCAAGATGCTGGAAATGTGCTATATCTCAGTTTGAGTGGTGGTTACATGGGTGCACACATATACCAAAATTCATCAAGCTGTATACCTAAGGCTTGTATACTTTGTTGTATTTTTTATACCTCGATTTTTAAAAATGCAAAAATAACCCTTGGAAATAAGGCAAAAAACAAGTATATAC